TGCCCTCCCCACAGCCCCGCTCGGCCCTCAGCCTCACCTCCTGGCCCTCCAGCCCCAGCTCTCGGTCCTCCGAAGCCCAGGGAGCTCTAAGAGAACGGGGGACCCCCCCTCCCCAACCCCCGACACCCCGGAATCCGGTCAGGTGAAAGCTTCGGGCTGCCGCCTGCGCGGGGAGGAGGCGAGCTCCGGTTTGCTGGTCTAGTTTAGGAGTGGCCAGGGCCGAGGTGGGAACGCTGGTGGCTTGGCGGCGTGGAAGTGGCTCAGGGCGAGCGTGGCGCGGTGGGCGAAGCGCTAGCGCGGGGCGGAAACCAGACTTGGGAGCCTACCTAGGCTGCACGCACCCACTCCAGCCCTGATTCTTATTCCGAAGCCAGGTGCTCCCAGAGGGTAGCTGAGGATGGGAGGGTGGCGCGGTGGAGTGGCCAGCGAGAGTTCTGGGCCAGCCCCGTTTTCCTGAGAGTCCCCCTCAGGGTGCTCCCCTGGAAATGGGGAGTGTGATCATCGCATTCTGCTACCTCCCCGGTCTGGTAGGCAGAGAGCTCCAAATGCGCCCCCCACGCCCCCATCTTCCCTTGAGCTCTTCTCTAGCTAGGGCAGAGATAGAGGGGAGGGGAGTGCCTGGGAGCGGACTGCGTCCTGGAGGTGAAGGCGGCAGAGCAGCAGCTGCTCTGGGCTGGGAACCAAACCGTACCGCTTTTCAAGTTAGGTAACCGAGGCCGAAAGGGCTCTGAAGAGGCCTACTCGGTGCAGCGCAGCCCCCTTCGCCTGCAGGCTGGAAGGCAGGCCTGCAGGCTGGACCCGGACACCAGAGAGCCGTCCAGCAGTTACGCCTTGGCAGAGACCTACACACCCCAAACTCTGAGTGGATCCCGCCCCATGGCCCGGGCTTCTGTGGGTGCTGGACTAGGGTGCTCGAACAAAGTTGAAGATGGGGTACCGCGAGCCTCTCAAGTCGCTCACCCTGCGGAGGGAGGCACCGAATCTGACCGACTTGGCTATTCTGTCCTGTATCAGGCAAGTCACTTTTCTCCTCCGAAAAGAGCCAGTCCTACAGATCAAGGTTGGGTGGAATTTCGTGAATAAATCTTGGAAAGAGCGAGGGCCAGAGATGTGTGAGGCCCTCTTCCCACACTGAGCACCTACAGGGACAGGGGGGCTTTACGGGCCTCTGCACAAATCCGCTTCAGATAGAAACCCTCAGAAAGCGAAACTGCGGAGGGAATGGGGTTCAGTGGCAGGCCACGCCCAGTGTGAGGCTCTCTGTTCATTTCTAGCATCTAGCATCGCAAAAACACAAATCCAAAGCAAAAGCTCCCAGAGGCACAGAGGCACAGAGGCTGGTAGGCAATGGGGGGGGGGGGGGGGCGGGCTGGGCTCCCGACGGGGCATCTCTAGAGTAGAGCCCACCACGGGCCTCTTGGACAACATGGGCACTCCTCTGGGCTAAATGCCTGGTGGGATGGGGGATGGGCACCAAGACTCTCTATCTTTCTGTGTTAGCTCTTTCTCCAGGGTTCCACTGAATGCCTCTCCCGGCCCCTCCCCACCATATACCCTTACTCACAGCCCTTCATCCATCTACCCAGGGAAGCGAAGTAGACACTGGCCGAGACTGACAGGAGAAACAGACATACACACAAGAGGGCTCAGATACCTCCATAGTGGCCACCCAGACACTTAGGCGGCAAGACTCCAAGACCAGAAGACAAGCCTAAGAGACCCTCAGGACAGTCATGGAACACCACACCCACAGGAACACCCGGACACCGCCAACCACTCTCAGACCCCACTGAGTCTGTCCGCATAGGCCTAGCTCCTCCTAACACAGCCTAGAAAAGATGTAAGGGGGAAATGGATCTTGAGAGACCCCTGGCCTTTTCCCTGCCTAGAGTTGTGGTCGTTCTGTAGAGCAGGCAGTGGCCAGTCCAGGCCAGAGCGAGGCACTGAGGAGGGAGGCTGGCCATTAGAGGCCTGGCCCCGGCCTTCACTTACTGAGCGGAAGGAGAACTCTCAGCCGGATAAGGGTGGACACTGGGCACCAGCGTGCTGGCGCGGAGGCTCCCAGGCCCCAGGTAGGGCAGTGGCTGGCAGACTCTCAGGAACTTCTTCACCCAGCAGCAAGCGGAAAGCAAACTGACCCTGTCCGACCGTCCTTTTCTCCTCCCCGCGTGGGTGTGGGGGGGGGGCCACCGGAGGCCCAATTGGTCTCTGCCCCCACGTGACTCCGCAGGCCTCTCTCCTTCTTTGTTGGTGTTTCCCTTCATTTGGGTCTATATCTTTTTTTTTTCACTCTCCTAAAAAGAAAAAAGAAAAAAACTCTCTTTATGGGGGGCTCCGGGTGGGGGCAGAGGCCAAGGCACTGGGAGGACTTCTCCAGCTGGCTGTCCAGGCTGCTGTGGGAGCCTGAGGCACGGACCCCGTGTAGGCAGATAGGCAGCCGCTTGTTAGCGACTGGGTGGGAGTGGGACCTGATTTATGGGCTGCTCCCTCACCAGGCTGGGAGTTTCTCCCCTTGAAGGGCTTCCTCCCTGGGTTTTGGCCTGGACTGTAAGGTCCAGCTTGTCCCAGATCTGAATATGGAGTAGAATGGCTGGTGTGGAGAAATGGCTATGGTGGACCCCGGCAAATGGAGTTCATGTGGCTTTTGGCGCTGGCTTCTCTGAATATCACTATGTATTGGGAGCTGCAGATATGTTCCATTGGCAGCTGGGGAAACTGAGGCTGTGCCAAGATTGCTGGGCTAGGGGTGTGGCCATGTGGGTTCAGGTCGGACTATATGGGTACCAGGCTCCAGTAAGAAAGGGCTGTTTTTGTTTGGTTGTTTGTTTGTTTGTTTTGTTTTGCTTTGTTTTGAATCTAGAAAGCCAGGCTTCCCTGCTTAGCCAGTTCCTGAACTGGCCTGGTCTTATGGATCCAAATTTCGGAATCCTGCACGGTCTTCCATCCCACACCTTTTGCGTAACTGATGCCTGCGTTCCCGTAGGCCGGGCGTTTGAGCCAAGCACTGCTGTAGGCACTGGAGGATACAGTGATGAAGAACAGGACCCCTCTGTTGTGGAAAGATTAGCAAGCATTTGTTCTGAGAGGCGACTTGGAGCACAGGCTCACCAAGTGGGGAATCCTTGTCAAGGACCCCCACTTCACTCGAAGAGACAGGCATGTCAGGCAAAGCTTCTCATTTATGTAGTTCTGGATGACAGGGGCTTTTCTGGATAACTGAGCCACTTAGATTTAAATCCAGAATGTCTTTTCCTTATGTTATCACTTGGCTTTTTGTTGTTGAGCTTTGAGACAGTGTCTCATTATGGAGCTCAGGCTGGTGTCAAACCTTCCAGCCAGTCCCTTGCAAGTGCTGGGATTATAAACATGCACCACTGCAGCCTGCTTCAAGTTAAAAAACAAACAAACATAGTTTAATGGTGGTTTTACTACTATCTAGCGTAACATTTGAGTAAGCACATTTGAATTATATCTATACCATTACATGCTACTCCCCCCCCCCATACTCAGGGCTTCAGTCAAGCCTTTTAAACCCAGAAAGTCACATTTTTCTTGTTTAGAGCTAGAATTTAATCTGATTCCTTTTGTCTCATTTTTATTATTTCTCAGTTTCCCACTTCATTTTACTATTTTTGTTTCATTTAAACATTTTGGCTTTTTGATTTATTTAATTCTGTTGGACATAGGCTACCACTCTGTAGCCCAGGCTAGCCTCTGATTGGTGGCAATTCTCCTGCATTAGCCTTGAGTGCTGGACTTGCAGGTGTAAGCCTGCCTCTGCTTCCTGACTGTCATGCACAAGTTCTCACTTTAGAATCCATGCTGCTTATCTTCTGAGTTCAGTAAAGAAATAGGCTAGAGAATGCCATTTCACAGTGTTGCATACACATCACCACAAAAAATCTGGGTTTTTTGCACCCCTTTTTTGATGGGAGACTTCATGAAGTAGGAGTCTACATCTCCTGGTGTATGTGTGTTTGTGTGTGTGTATGTGTGTGTTATTACTGGGGCTCAAACCTAGAGCTTCAGAAATGCCAAGCCTGACTTTTAAATTTTTATTTTTATATATTTATTATTGTTGAGGCAAGGTCTTACTGTGTAGACCAGACTGGCCTGGAACACACAAAGATCTCCCTCCTGCCTCTGCCTCCTCAGTGCTAGGATTACAGGCCAGTGGAACCACCACCAAGCAGAGCCTGCCTTTGTTTTGTTTTGTTTTGTTTTATGAGGCAGGATTTCTCTGTATAGCCTTGGCTGTCCTGAACTTGCTTTGTAGACCAGGCTGGCCTTGAACTCACAGCGATCTATCTGTCTCTGCCTCACCGAGTGCTGCCTTCTTAAACAGGATATATGGGGTCTTTCAGCACCATGGTGCTTTGGAAATAAGTGGTGTGGTCTTGGCAAGTCCTTGAGATTTGAGAGTTGCTGGCAGAGACTGGGTTCCATTCCAGCTTGGCCCCTCTCTGGCTGTGTGGCCTGTTTACATCTCTTCGCTGGGCCTCATGTTCCCTTTTATAAGAGGTATGGTACATGCAACTTATCTACTGTCCTCTTAGTATACCATATGTACTCAGTAAAGTGTCAGCAACACACACACACACACACACACACACACACACACACACACACAGACCTCCTTCTGAAGGCCTGGCTGCTCTGTCCTTAGAGGCCTTTTCCTTGTTGAGTATGACATTGCAACATCGCTGTCAACCTTGCTTGCCCTTCTGTGACTCACCTCAGCTAGGGGGAACTCTCATGGGAAGGGTTGATTTCTCTCTGGGTCTTCAGCACTGTTGAATGCCCGTTCTTGCAGAGCAGGCCCCATGTGCTTGTCTGAAGGGCTAGAGCTCTGCTGTTTCTTGTGTTGTCTCCTCTAGGGGTTAGCTGTCAGTGACAGGCTGGATGTGCTTCATTCCCTAGTCAGCCCTGGATATGACATACTCACTTCTCCAAAGATACCCTCTATTCTGGCCCACTGGCCCCAGCTCACACGGGTGCTGCACCACCGGACCAGATAGAGAAGGAAGGAGCTGGGGCTGTGAGCATAGGAATAGCGCTATGCTCCTGTGAACCATTACGTACCTAGGCTTTAGACTCAAGCCCTTGCTACCGTCCTGGGAATGGGGTCGAGAGTATCTTTATCTCACCCCCTATGAGCAACACTCAGGCCCTGGCTAAGTCAGGAGGCAGCTCTCTAAAGTTACCTGAGCACAGACAGCTCAGCAGTGGGAAAGCAGAGAGCTGAGGCGTAGCCTACACTCCATCTACTGTGTGCCCTGGGCAGCCTGCATTGCTGTGTGAGCTCAGCTCCAATGCTGGGGGTCCGGGCCAGGAGACCTATTGCAAGGAAGCAGAGCCACAGCCCTGATTCAGCACTGCCTCCCCAAGGCAAACAAAGCTTAGAGGCTCACTCCTGAGGAGGGACTTTCCTAAAGTGCCAGGCTTGTTTCCTGGAGGTAGAAGAAAGGACAAAAGAAGCAGAGACCCAGACACTGAAAGGAAGGAGGGGGGACAGTTGTGACTGGGGGACAGTGGGGAGAAACAGCTAGAAAAAGAAGCTAAAGGGTGAGAGGGACACAGACCTACTAATGGTAAGGAAGATCCATAGATGGTAGAGGGGAGGAATGAGAGAACTTCAGGAGGAATAGAGAAAGAATTGTGCAGGAAGGGGGAGAGGAAGGGAGGGCAGAGAGAACCAGATATAGAGAGATGAAGACAGAGAATAGACTAAAGGCCGAGGGGCCTGGGGAGCTGGAGGCAGAAGGAACTAGCTGCAGAGACCCCGCTCCGGGCAGCGTAGGGGGCGGGCCTGCTGGCAGCAGTGGAGGCTGTTTCCGCTGCACCCCTTATCAGCCCGCTGCCAGATGTTCAGATCCGATGCCAATGTCAGAGAAGTCCATAGTGCTGGGTCAAGGCCGTGGCCAGCGGGAGCCTCAGCTGCATCATGGAGAGGGGGCGGGAGGGGAAGCCTTCTTTAGACCTGCTGGCTCTTCCTCCTCCTGTGGCTCACCAGGCTGGACCACCTGGTGGGGGGTGGGAAGATCAGGCACTTCCAGGGGGCTACCTCTCCAGGCTGAGAGCCGGGGGCTTGTGGAGGCAGGGTCTCTGGAGACTGGCAACATGTGGCTGTGTGCGCCAGGGTACCCCTGCCACCCCGACATTTGAGGTGGCACATGGACACACACACATATGCACACACCCCAGTACAGAATCACATGGGGACAACTTGGAATTCATTCAGAACTGTCTGTCTCAATACCTCTCTGCATCCCTACCCAGCCAGCACGCCTGCTCTGCCTAGCCCCCTTCCCATCCCCCAAACCTAAGCCAAGACTGCGGCCAGAGCTGGAGCAGCCAGGTATAGCCCTCTTGGTGGCTGGTGTTGTTCTAACAGATGCACTTAGAAACTGCAATGACCTCCAAAGGGACCTTGGACCTTCTAGAATGAAGCCCAGTAGAGGCCCTCCAGGCAGAGGCAGGTGCTGGGTGTCTGGGAGGGCTGAACCTCCAGCCTTGGGCCTGGGCCTCTCTGCCATGCTCCAGGAGCGTGCAGCGCAGCTGTGGCCCCTTCCTGGGGCAGCTTATCTCAGAGCGCACACGCTTGGCCCTCAAGAGGTGACCCAGCCTTGCACCCCACATTCCTCTCCAGTTCTGCAGCCGGTGGGCCCCCCACAGCTCTGAGACTGGGCCTGTGCTTGGGAGGTAGTCAGAGCTGCCACTGGGCCCAAGCCCCCTCAGTCACCACTTGTGTCTCTTGGCCTTCTCTGCTTGTCTTGATGAATTTGTTTATTCCCGTATCTTTCTCTTGGATTGTCCCGATTTGTTTTTCTTTTCTTTGCTACTTTCAGTGTTCTAATATATTTTTCTTTGCTTTTTCTCCAGGGTCCTTGAATAAGACCAAATCTGGGGACATCTCTGCTCTTTTGAATCAGTGACCAACTTTAGTGGGAAAATACATAAAAAGTCAATCCTTGGTGAGGGACCAAAGGGCCTGGGAAAGAGGAAGCTGTCCTGGGAGCAGTGGGGAGACTGCCCCTTTTCACCCACCTAGGAAGCCATCTCCAGAAGGCACATGAACCAGGATCTGGTGGGCTCCCCCATGTAGGAGGCTTGGGGTGGGTGGGGTGGGGTGCGGGGAGGAAACTAGGACTGGAGGTCTTAGCCTGAGGACCTCCTTCCTGTTTGTAGGGAAGTGACTGCCTCAGAAAGCTGCTGGGGGAGAGGAGGGAGGCCATGGTGACTTCCGGGAAGCTGGCCAAGGGTCTGAGGCCGCCCTCCCTGTGCCCACATGGGGTTCTCCAGTCACTTAAAATAGTGAAACTCTGGCACTGATGATGGGCCCAGCCTGGACCTCAAAGAGATGCAAAATATGGTTTGTGCCACCAGTAGGGGTGTGTGTGTGTGTGTGTGTGTGTGTGTGTGTGTGTGTGTGTGTGTGTAGGTGGAGGGTGGGGTGGGGAACTCTACCCAGTTATCTAGTCCTAATCAGATTGTGGCCCATGGCCACAGGGAGAAAAAACAGATTCCAGACCTGAAGCCTTAGATGCAAGTTTCAGCTCTTGCACTGAACATCTTTGAGACTTTGGTCTGGTGCCTGCCTGGCTTTCAGCCAAAATGAGAGTGGTGTGGCCACCACAGAGCTTTACCAGGCATAAAGCATAAAGCTCAGAACTGGACTTTCGTTGGCTGTGTGCGTTCTTACTGTACTCTGCTATACCTATAGCTCTCAGGACTGGGTGCAGAGCAGGGAAGGCTTGTGGGGAGGGAGCTTGCAAGGAGGGCAAGGATGGGGCTGTGGTCTCCATGGTGAGACTTGTTGCCAAGGGAACAAAGTCTTCAGGAGCCCTGGGTCTGGCAGTTGGGCACTTTTGCCACAGGAGCTGGAAGGATGATTGTCATTGCACCCAAACTCCTGATGGGCCATCGGGCCAAGGCCAGGCTGAGCAGAGAGGAGGCTCCTGGGTTTGCTGGGCCTCTGCTGCCGGTGGAGGGGCTGCAGCTTCAGCACACAGCCTCCTGTTGGAGCTAGCCACTGTCACTCCCAAACTCCTGAGCCACTCTACTGATGGACAGGGCAAGTGGGGACCAGGGAGGCATCTATCTGGGTCAATGTCAGAGTCCACTGTGGAGGAGATGAACGGAGACCCCTTATCGATGCTCCTGCTGTCTCACAGGTTGCCTGAGGGAAGTAAACCCTGGAAAGAATTCCCTGCAGCCAGACCACTCAATCCCAGCACCCACACCCACACCTGTGCCCGTTTCTAGATGTTCATGGCTTCACTTGATGGAACCTGGAGTACAAGCCTCCACTGCTGACTGCACAGACATGTCCTTATTCATCTGCAGCCTGGTGAGGAACTCAGTGAACGCAGGTGCTTTCAGCAGGCACCCAGCATTTATTTCTATGCATTCCTGAGAGCTCCCTAGTTAGGTCACCTGAGGCAAATAATTTATCCTCTCTGGACTTCAGTGTTTTGTTTCTGTAAAATGGGATCATTACTGAACATACCTCCCATGGTTGTTCTGGGGTGTGACCTCATGGATGGCACTATAGTCATCCACTCAATGTCTATGTCACTTATTATTTTGGTGATGAAACAGAACTTGGGCTGTCACACTGAACCATACCTCTCCATCCTTCTTCTTAGATTGTCACCTCACACCTTTGAGGAAGTTCAAAGCTCACCATTACTTAAGGAGCAACTTAGATATTTGGAGAACACTGTCCTAAATTTTTACCCCATGGAATGGTGACTCAAGAAAAAAAGTCTGATGATCAGGCAGTTTTAGTATAACCTGGTTTGGCTAAATGAGATACTTCTTCAGGTAGGACTTCCCACAGCCTTGCCTATGCAAAGGAGTCTGGGAGGAAAATAAAGATTGTGGCATTTCCTCAGTTTCTGGCTACAGAACTGTTTCTTTTTGACAGAGCCTTCATGAGTGACTTTGTTCAGAGAAATCATAGACTGTCTGCCTGTGGCGCCCCAGGGATCTTGGGATGTCATTGCTTTTCAGCTCGATTAGGGGTTGGGCCTGTATATAGTTTACACAATTAATCTTTCATTGGTTGGTTTTTGAGTATGGAAAGGTTCAACCAAAGGCCATTTGTTCCTGAGCTTTGTTACAAACTCCACTTGTGCTCAAAACTGCTGAAAGAGCAGGGAGGAAGCAATTGTAACTTTAGTATCAGATAGACCTGGATTCTGCTGCTTGCTCAAGTATCATCTTAGGCAAGTGGCTAAACTTCCCTGAGCCTGTTTGCTTCAGAGCAAAAGGGATGGCAGGGCATGGTGCAGCTACAGGGTGTGGCTGTCGCTAGGCAGCCAGCATACTCCCTTCTCCTTGTGCTTCTTTCTATCTGGCCCCCTTGTGGGGCTGTGAAGACAGCCTATTACCTCCTTCTGCTGTGGTCCCTTTGTTTCAAATCACCTCTTTCAAGCCTCAAGGGCTCTTTGGTACCTTGTGCTGGGCATGGAACATAGAAGGCAGCTGGGTGTTCCTGTTTCACGCAGGACGATTTAATAGATGGATGAGACTCTTCTGGCATTTTATCTTGCCATTGAGGAGCCTCCCTCTGTCTTTACAGCCCTCACCCTGCCTGAGTGTGTGAGCAGGACTACAAGATGGCTGAGCTTTGTAGCGGGGTGGATCTGGGCTCAGGACACTGCCCGTGTTCTCTCCCTTGAAGGTTGAAAAGTCCCCTGACTTTTCAATTCTATATGCTCACATATTACCTAAGTTATAAAGGAGCCCTAATTAGTTTTCTGTAGTCAGGTATTAATTTGATAGACCACTGAGTAGGGAAGGCAGACCACCGATCACCCAAGCACACTGTTGTCGCGGACACAGCTGACACTCAGCACATGGGCTTCTCCCAACTCCTTCCAGCAGTGCTCCAGGCACCAATGACCCCCAACTCAATTCTTTCCTCATGTTCGTTTGTTTAATAGGATCTTAGAACATGCTGCAGCGGCTCTACCCTGGTGGGCAGGTTCTCAGCGTGGCGATTTTCAGAAACAGCCTCATCAGGGAAACCTCCTCCTTTAGGTCCTTACTACTTGTTCCCATCCCAAGTCACAATACTCTCCTCATAGTACTTCAAAGATCGGCGTATCTGCCACCAGGCTATCCCTTACTTGTGTTTTTTTTCTGCCTGGGAACCTTGTGCAAGTCTTTTCACCATTCTCAACCTTAGTTTCTTCATTTTCAAAAAGAATTGCCCTGGAAGCTCTTGGTGGTCCAGGTTTATGACAAAATCAACACAGTGCCCGAAAGGCAACAGGCACTCACGGGCTCCTGAGGCTCTGGAGCAGACCACTTTCTGCCAGGCTCTCAGCAACAGAGATGGGGGTGGTGTTGGCTATGAGCAGGAGTCCATGCCTCAAGACATACGGCCCTCCCTCCCCCGAGCCCCAGATAAGCTTCACAGACAGATGGCACGTGCAGAGGATTCACATTTATTGGTTCAAATACAGTACCTAATACTTGTTAACATGCATTTCACACTAATTGGTCACATTTCCACAGGTAGTCACTTCACAGAACAGGGCCCACCTCTTGCCAGCAGGCAAGTGTGGGAGGTAGCAGAGGGCCTGAATAGCCTGCAGAGCCCGCCAACTATCACTTGGTCATGCAGGGTTGATGGAGCCAGGCTGGCAGGCAGCCCTTGGCCGGCCCTTTGGGAACAAGGGCTCAGAGACATCCATTCATTCGATTCCTACACTGGACTGTAGGAGGACTGGGAGGTAGCTTGAGGTAGGCTCATGATGCACTTGCCATTAGAGTCCCCGAAATCCAAGCTATGGAGCACAGGAAGGGGTGAGGCCTCTTCTAGGGATGGCTTGTCCCTAGCTGGGCAGGTGGAAAGGACTCCCCAGACACTGCCCAGACATTACAATGCAGCCACAAGCCCCTATCGGAGGCCTGGGATGGCAACACAGACAAAAACACCAACAGTCCAGGGTTTCGTTCCCGACAGAAACATGTAAACAGCACGGGAGCTACAGTATTCTTTTCCCACAGGACTCCTCAGAGAGGAATCGACCAGGATGTCACTCAAGAGGTAGTCTTTTTTTTCCCCCATGGAAATTTGAGTCAAAAACATTATCACCTATTAAATTTCAGTTAAGAAAAAGGTCAGCAAAGAGCAAGAGAACCCTTTGGGTGGCAGGGCTGGCTTCAGGGTTTGGAAGACTAGCCTCCACCAGTAACACATTTTTCTAGGGTTTGGAGCAGGCCCTGGCCTTTCCCACAACTTTCATTTAAGCTAATAACTGATACCCGAGCAAGCTGGGGCTATTTAGGACTGCAGATGAGAAAGGATTTGTCCTGGGCAGAGGGGCTAGGCTTCCCAAGAGCACTGGAGAGGCTCATGTGCAGGGTGGTCAGAAGTCTTGAGGAAACCCACATCTAGCCAAAGAGGTAGCTTGCTCAGTGGCCTGGGTTGCTCACTCTAAGGAAGAAGTCAGGGTCTGACTCTCAAGCCCAGGAAATATGCTACTTGTGGCAGCCAAGAGAGGGCTTTCTGGGGACCCTGTAATTAAATACACATCCCTGAGCTGTGGCCCCAGAAGCGCCCACTTCAAGGCTGACCAGTTTCTAGCACCTGGTGGGATGATTGCCGTTTTTCATCCTAAGACACAGATAAAACACTACTTCACAGACACTGCATGAGGAAAAGGGAGGAGGATCAACGGCAGAGGGAGTGTGGGTATACCCATGGACCAAGGTGGGGGAGTCAGTTAGTGGGTTTTCTTTTTCTTTTCTTTTTTTCTTTCTTTTTTTTTTTTTTTTTTTTTTTACTTTTAAAAGAGAAATAAAGAAGAAAAAAAAAAGAGCAAAGTTTAGTAGAAGGGCTGTTCTGAAAGGCTGAATTTCTTAAAACAACTGCAATTAAAAAAAAAAAAAAAGAAGAAGAACAAGGAAAAACCATAAAGAACAGTGTTCCAAAGCCAGAGACGTAGATGTCTACTCCGCTTTCTGCCCTATGGGAGGTCAGGGCCCCTTTACTTTGGCTAAGCGTGGTCACAACTTAAAGGCTACCTGCTGCCTATCTGTCTCACTCTGGAAGAACAAATGAGAGAGGTATAGGGCAGCAGGCTAAACAGCTGGCTCAGCCCATGGCAGTGTGTACTTCCCTCAGCAATGGGCAGTCACAGGTAGGCTGTATGTGTGGGCTGTTCTACCCCTCCACTGGTTCTGAGATCAGGACAGGGAGGTTCCTGGCTGCTTCCTTCTACCCTAGAGGCATGCCCCTTCACTTGTAGGTTGGCACTGGGTACTGGGTGTCCTGAGCCAGGTCATGTGCTTTGAGATGAGTTGTAGGGAATTTCTCCAAACTAAGGGTGAGACTACTAAATCTTGCAGAGGACACAAAAGACCTACCAAGGACTCAGGGAGCAGGAACTACAAAGCTCTGAGACTCCAAACTTTTGTCTTGCGTCAAGACAGCATATACAAGAAAAGGGGGAAAGCATGTATGTTTTGGCATAGTGCAAGGAGGTGGATTCTCCTTCTCCACATGGCTTTTGGGGTTATATTTTTTTTATGGTGGAAAAATTTTCACTCAAAGTGAGTATTTTCAGTGGCCTGGATCAGAGAGGACAGAAGAGAGAGGATTGAGATATAACATGCACAAGTTTTTCCTTCTTCCACTAGCTAAAAGGCTGCCTGTTAACCAAACATTATGGGAAAAAAGGCAAAAAACAAGCATACCAAACCTCCCCCTCCAACCTTTCTCTGTGTCCTTCAAACCAAAATCACAAATACATCTAGTGGCTGACCTAATGTCTCCACGCTGCTAGCTACACTCCTACCTTCTCCTCATAATACCTGAGTTTGCAATGCAGCACATTTACTTTACCCTGTTTAAAAGAAGCCCATGTCATAAAAGGACTGGGTGCAGAAGACATTAAAGGCGGTCCACAGGTCAGGCTCCAGCTCGGAACACACAGCCACTTGGCTCAGAGATTCTGCAGGGCTCTTGGCAATGAATGGGCTCTTTGTTCTGTGGAATCTGCTGCAAACATTTGTAAAAATGGATTTGTACAATGGCAACTTGCAAAACCTTTCCCTTACTCTACAAATTAACAACTTGCTCTGTTTAATACTACATTATTGGAGAGACACCTTCTTGCCTCATCAGAGCTTTGACATTCAACACAACAGGTGAAATGCTAATTTGAAAAGCAACTTCAAAAACTAATAATTTGACAAATGGAGGTCTAAGCAAAGAAAGCTGTTGTGTGCATACAGGAACTGTCTCTGATTCATGTCTCTGATTCCTAGCTTGAGGAAAGCAGCTGAGAATCTGACCTGGAGCCAAAAAATGTGATCTGTTTGGTTAAATACAAAAATTCAGGCAAACAAGAAAAACATTGTGAACTTAGAAACAAACAGACACACCAACACACGTATCTTCCCACCAACACATGAAAAACATTCTATCTGGAACTTTCCCGAAGAACACATCTTTCTTCTCTCTCTCTCTCTTTCTCAGAGTGGCTGGGAATAAGACTGAGAAGTAATGATGCTCTGAACTTTGGACATCAAGTGACATAACTGTCACTTTGCTGGTACCCGTAACATTTCAGTGGACAGGAAAACTGACAAATGGAGACTACCTGGGATACACAGGTTGTGGTGGCCTCCTGGGTAAGTTAATAGGCTTTGTTGGGGAAGAGTAAACAGTTCCCGACCAAACAGGCTCAAGGAGATACTGTGGGTGTGGCAGGCCCACCAAGGGATACAAGCCAGTGGAGCAACTGTCTGGGGTACTAGCTGTAGGAGGGCCTGGTATGGGCAAAGGGAAAAGCCGCTGAAACAACCCTAAAACAAACCTGGTGTAGTCCTGGCCAAAGTCTGGAGGGTAAGAAATCTTCCTAGAACTAGGTGGGGCAGGCAATAAAGCACAGGGGGTCCAGGTTGCCTCTGCAGAAGCAGCAGGCAAGACCTTAGAAAACATGAGGTAGTTTAAAGCCCCTTTCCCTTCCAGGTTCTTCTGGCTCTGTCCCTCCAGGGCTTAGTAGGCCAGACCATTGATAATACTTGAAAGACTAGATGGGCTTCTCTGGGTCTTCGCTTTCTGTTCCAGAGCCCTGGCAAACTGATCTTGTTTTGGAAATAATAAGAGGGCTTACAACAAAATTTAGGAGCAAAGTCTCTGGTCCTTCCTATGTTTAAAAATGGCAGTTTTGGATTTGGTTCTGGGAATAAGGTGGGGTGAGAAAAGGGGCTGGCAAAGGAGTCTTATTCTTTCAGCAGCCTGGCCTGTGTCCCTCTACCTTTTGAGGGAAACAAGCTAAAGAAAAACAAATCAGAAATGGCATCAGAATTCAGAACATGGCATTTTCCTGCCACCTTTCTAAAGGACTTACAGAAAATCAAATTCATAAAAGGGAGGGATGGAGTCTGAAAAAGGTAGGCCTTGGTAGATCTGGGTCAGGAAACTAGGCAGCTGTGAGCCCCAAGGGAGCTGGGAGGGAAGTCCTATACACTAATTTATTGTCAGGACTCTACCTGGATGAAAACTTGACAGCAGCATTCAACATACAACAGTGTGTGGGATGGGAGGGGTGCAGCAGAAAGTAAGAGCAGAGTTTCTGCCCTTTGGGCTTTGTGGGATGAGATGATGGTTAATCCCCATCAAATGTTGAGGATTAAAATCAAAATGCCTCTCAAACATCCCACCCACCTCTTTAGTAAATCTCCCTATACCACTTCGCTCCTTGGGCGTACTCTTTTACTTAGTAAGTCTGTGGCTATAAAAAGGCAGTTTGCTCTCAAACAGACAAGTGTACGGTCTGCTGAGAAAATGTGGAAAAGGTAGGGATGGTCATACCCCCGTTTCCATTGAGGTAGTTGTCTTTGTCAACATTATGGAAATATTCATCTAGTCCATCCCACCCTCTCCCTCAAAATACAAAAAGAACTATCTCTAAACAATGACAACACGGTAACATTAGACATCTTCACATTCTGTAAACTGCAAGGAAATGCATCTGCTGCATTCACACAAAAGCATGTGCATCATGTTGAAGGCCATACATTCAACTCTGTCGTGAAATAAATATATAGAAAAATGAGGTTAAAAACAGACAAACAAACAAATTCTTCTTGTGATGGAGGCAGCTGCTCCACAGTCTCCATCTTGGTCTCTGGCTCTTTCTTCTGGAGCCTGTCCTGCCCACCCAAGGCACTGCGGACGGCCCAAGGAGGTGCAGGGCACAGGTCACTCCTTTACTGCACTTGTTTTGCAGGAGTGCAGCACCACCTTAAAGAGGAGGGGCAGCTGTTCCAGGGGCACATTCACCATCTTTCCTAGGTAAAGGGAAGAGACGAGGAGTTAGCAGTGGTCAGTAAGGAAGGAAAGTGTACCTTGTCTCCTCTCAGGATGCTGGATCTCCTTGGTACAGGATGAGGGCACGGTAAGTATCAGGAGTACCAAAAAGGTCACAGGGTTAGATAATGTTAGGGTGTTTAGGCTAACTCTCCCAAATGCTACACTTGCTCTGTGCCAGTCAGTTCAATGCACTGTCTCATTCAGACTCATAATGTTTCTGACTGTGATTGCCTTTTACCCCCATTTCACGGCTGAAACAGAAAGGGAACCCTTCTGAGCACTTCGTAGCTAAAATACTATAGGAAACTTGCTTCCCACCAACTCTCCAGCATTCTATAAAACACTACTCTTCAAGAAAGAATAACTAATTAATAAAAGTACTGGGGAATTAAGGAGTAGAGTTACAGGGGCAAATAAATTTGAAATGTCTGGAGATAAAAAGAGTTTGTCAGTTTTTTTTTCACCAATGAAACTCCTCAGAGCTTTAAGCACACACTTTAAGCAAAGCTACTAAGGCTACAGTTTTCCCCAACAGTACTTCAGAGTCACCTGGAGGGCATTAAAAAATACTGATGCCTGGGCTTCACCCCATACCAGTTAAGTCAGAATGTCGGGAGATACAACCTAAACACTGGTATTTTTCAAAAGTGGAGGTGACTGAAAATATTGCCATGTCCAGCCTACATCTGCTAGACTGTTCTGTGGCTCAAGAAATATAGAAAAAAAAATTCTGTCAGACTAACATGTTTTCCTTAAAAAAATTGTATTGCTGAATTTTACAGAAATAATCCAGTCTAAACATCACCCCCGTGAATGTGGACAATGAAAACAAGAATCCTCATTAAATGACGTAAAGCAACAAATACCAAGGTTATGGTCTGAAACAGACCTACAACTGTCAGGAGCTTAGCAAAGGGTTCAAGACCACAAACACACCCCGACATACCAAATTCCTTTGTAAATGCAGAAGCTTACAGTGCCACTTTATATGGCTCTGGAAAGAGTATGTGCAATCGTATGAAATAAAGTCTTTGAAAACTGACATAATTTACACGTAAAATTCATTATCTAAAAGTATACAGTTCAGGAGAAGGAGTGCAGACACAGCCTGCTTTCCTCATCCACACACCACCTGAACACCACAGGAGCCTGGGAAATGCCAGTTTCTCCTTTCTAAAATGAAACACAGACTTCCTATGACAACAGTACTTTCTGAGGACAAGAGTAGTAACTCTTCCTGAAGCTGGCGATGAGACAGGAGTGAGCATCCTGTGAATGCTGCTCATCTCAATCCTTCACAAGCCTGGAGAAGCAAGGAAAGGTGGAAGTCTGGACCCAGACTATTACCTGCGATGTAGCGGATCTCTGGCAAGCACATCATAAGATCAGGAAAGCGGTTTGGCTGATGCGTGTATTTATACTCAGTGAAATCCTGACAAATGTACCAATACCGCTTGTTCAGTTGTTCCAGCTGGGAGGCACTGGTCAGACCCCTGATATCTGTGAAAACAAAAACAAAAATCACACAGGGAAGGGAGGGTGGATAAAATCAGATTAAAAAAAATGAGATGTTATTAAACATGGCCATAACAGAGATCTTTTCTCCTTCTCATGTGGGGAAACTAAGATCTGCATAAGGGAAACGAAATAAGATAGAAAAGAAAAAAAATATGCAAAGTACAGCCCTTTGCCTGTACCCTTAGAGTTCTAAGCTGGGTATTTCAACATTACATCAAGCTTTTAATAAAGGTATGGTGGCACAAAACAGGCCCCACTGAGGGTGGAAGAGGTGCTAACTCCTTACCCAACAACCCTTCACAGCACTTTGAATTGAAGGTTGTCAGGAGCCTGACGTGTATCATCTCCCTGTGTTCTCACTATTCTATCTTGATGTATATATGTATGTACATATATTTACCCATCTAAAGTACAGTGGATGAATAAAGCATCCTGTATATAAATCATACCCAGCCTTTGAGATCCAGCAGACATTCTCTTCCTTTAAGAAGTTCCTATTGATCTTCCCCCATATGCAGTAAAATTAATGTGTTGAGTGTTATGGACGAGGGGGCTGGTCTGGTTTTTATTTTTCTCATTCCCAACTCCTGCCAATGTCCTTAATACATGGTACAGGGCTTGGCCGGAGAAGGCATGTAGGTCACCTGATAAATGCATGATGGTATACAGATAGGAGCAGGAGCTCTATGCAGCACTGGAGGGTTGAGTGGGGGAGTAGTGGTAAAAAGGAAGGCCTGATCAAGAGTCTCTGGAGTGGAAAACTGAGCACTTTCAAAGCTACAGGGAACAAAATCACTCAGGGAAGGGGGCATTCTTATGCTACTTTTGATAAAAGAACACCAATTTTCCTTCACAGGCCAGTTACCAGCAAATACCACATGCGACTTGTTGGTAACATGTGCCACTTGTTGGCAAAATGCCTATAAACAACTGGACTCCTCTAATGGAAGAGTGGGCTTCATGTGCACATGGAAGTTTGTGTGCTGCTACTCCTCCTTGGGACATCAGCGCCACTGCCAGCCTGTTAACCAGGGCCTCATCTCCAACAGTTTCATCAGTCACTCTGCTCTTCTTCAGTTGCTGGTAAACTTGGTACATATTTTAA